TGAGACATAAGAATTGTTGCACTGCAAAAGCTAATGATATCAGTGACCTTTAACACTGATGTTCTATTACAGATGTCTGCTGTCGTGATACGGTTCCTCTCCCAGTCAATCTAGACCACTCTTTGCACAGCTGCATTAGGCATTTTTTTGCTCTGTAAAAAGCGCTGTCACTGCTCCTACTTGCCCTCACATTTGTAGAGGCAGATGTCATGGGATTTTGATGGGTATCGTCACAAACTGAAGGGAAGGATTTAGGTAATATTATGAAAATAAGCATTTTCTGTGAAGTAACCAAAAATGCAGCTGATACCTTTCAGTGACAGCCAGCACTGTCTAAGATTGGCTAACTTCTTGTACCTATGGATATTTAGAAAGGAATTTTTCAAGCTCATGGTGTTCTCTTACTACATGTTTTTTGTTTTAGGTGGCTCTCGAAACACATGGAAAACAAGAGGAAAAGCAGAAAGACTTTATCTCCAGATCTGCAGCCGCAGTTAATGGCGATGCAACTCACCTGAAAAAAGGAACAGTCAGGAAATCTGAAGGCTGGTTACCTACATCTAGCATATCGAGAGAGAGTGAGATAGCAGACCCACTTCTGCAGCAGATTGACAATATCACATCCTTTATTAAGCAAGCAAAGGCAGCTAACAGGATAGATGAGGTCCATATGTTGCAAGAGAACCTGAGGCAGCTTCAGGATGAATATGATCAACAACAAACTCTGAAAGCTATTGAGCTTTCTAAAAAACAGGCAGAAGAGGAAGAGATGCAGAGGGAGGAACTTCAGGTCCTTCGTGAAAAAGAGTGGGAAAGAGAACACCACAAATTCATGTCTCAGCATTCAAGGACACGCTCCTTAGACTTCAGAGAAATCAAGCAGCATCAGCATGAAGTTGCAAAAGAGAATCGGAACTTGACAGCACGTGCATTGGATTTGGATATTATTCAGCTCAAAGGGGACCCGGGTTTTGAAACTCCTGCTGTTGAGCAGCTGCCAGCTAAAGAGCACTTGATCTTCACACTCAAACCCCAGAATGTCCCCCCGTGCGACAAAGACCAAGATCAGACAGCCTGTCTAAACCCCTTTGAAGATGAAGCAGATACCCCTCAGTTAGAGGAAGATCCTGCTAACCCATTTGCCAAAGACACTTCTCCGATGGTTTCTTTCTCTAACACAGCTCTGCAAAGTGATAAAAAAGAATATAATCCATTTGAAAATGAGGAGGAGGATGAACAAACTAATGGAGCACGTGGCAGTACTTTAAACCCTTTTGAAGAGGATGAAAATCCATTTCAAAAGCCTGGGGGTGGTTGGAATTCTGGGAATCCATTTGAAGAGGGATCCTCTACCAATCCCTTTGAAGTGGAGGATGGCAGTGAGATCTCTGGAGAGGAGGCTATAGAGGAAGAGCTGCTTCTCCAACAGATAGATAATATCAAAGCTTATATATTTGATGCCAAACATAGTGGACGAATGGATGAGGTGGAGGTACTGACAGAGAACTTAAAGGAATTGAAGCGCACATTAGCAAAGCAGAAGGAGAAATCCAACTGCTGAAGCAGAAATAGGGCTGTGTAATAATTATTTTCACTCTGCTGTTGAATATGGGAAGGTAGAGCAGATACTTATAAACAGGAGTACAGATCACAAGAGGGAATTGGGAGAATCTTGACTTTTATGCACTTTCAATTAGGCATTTCCACTACTACTCAGTCTGGAAGAAAGAACTATTGAGGTGTGCTGCTGGTCTCAAATACTTAATACTAAGAAATTTTAACCTAACTTGTTACAACACTCTTAATGCTAACTGGTCTTATTGTGTGCTTATTTTGGTCAAAGTGGTTAAGTGCTAATAGGGAACTATGACTTGGAAATGATTGCAATGTTGGTTTGCCATCTTTCCCCCTTTCTGTTGCAGTAGTGTAGTATTGGCCTTTCACGTGGGGCTTTGACTAAAGAGAGACAAAAACTTGTCTAGAACTTCTGCATCCTCTGATAATGGCACAGTGCGGTGTTACTGGCTAGCTTGATTGCCTAATGGTGTTAGGAGAAAGTGCTGTTAAAAGGCTACTGTGATTCTTTGAGGTGCAGAATATACAGGCTTGCAGATCAATTTTGTGCAATGCTAATACATAAAAGGGATTTTAAGACTGAGAATAACTTTATAACTGATCTTAACATGAGTAACTTTTTAATGTGTTTATAAAAATTCCCAAGTAAAATTTGGATGCTGTCTTTTCATCACTTTTTGTTTCCCATTTGCTCTGAGCACAAATTACAGTGTAATAGAGAGCGCCATGCTGGCTTCAGAGACCTGCTTGTGAGGGAACAAGTATCTACTCATTTCCAGGGAAAAGAGCATCAGGCTAGCACCATTTCAAACTATAATGGGTGATCCTCTAATTCCTAATTATCTTATGGAATCTACACATTCCTTTAAATTCTCTGGGTGACAGAAGGATCACGTTTGTCATACTTGTGAGACTGGAACCCTCTTTGTAGCATTCAAGGAACAAAAATCTTGTTTATAATGGAGAGCTGAAGTGGCACTGAACTGGAATTCTGTGAAAGCTGGGAGACAGTCTGTGGCTGCGACAGTGCCAAATAGCAATTCTCTTTCATATTTGATTCCCCTCAGAAGTTATGAGAATCGGGCATGTCTTAAATAAGAAGCTCCAAACTGGAGTCGTCTTGTGATCCTGTGGTCTGGGGGATGAGTAGGTGATGGCCAGCACCTGGAGGTGGGATGCAGGAGGGCATCCCAGCATGCAGCAGGGCTTAGAGCTGGGCTGCTGAAGATTGGCATCAGAAATGTACCATCGCTTCAGGGTTAGGTAGCCTGTATCTTTGTGAAAGATGGAGCCTAAGCTGCTTTGATTTTTGTCTTTGAAAGGCAGAGGTCCGGCATCAGTGTTTGAAAGGGTGGTGGGGAGGAGTTAGTCTAAAGGGTGTATGTATTTAAAGCTAGTATAGAGGAAAGTCAGGCAGATCACACTGTACAGCACTAAGAATAGCAGGCTTACTCGGAAGTGTAAACTCTTATGGAATGGGACGTGTCTTTTAACTATGTCTCTGATAATATTTATTAGCATAGCTGTAACTCAAGCATTGCAGAGTATTTTAGAGACACAAATAACTATGCTACATAAAGAGCAGGAACTCTAGTTTTATTTTGCTGTAAATAAGTGGAGGTAGGGACTTCTGGAACTGCTGTTTAAAAAACCCGAACCACGTATATCTTAATAGCACTAGTTAACTGATCAAAATAACTTAGAGCAGCCAGTTAAGGATGGCTGATGTTCTCCCTACCGTAGCCTAAATCTGCAGTTGAAAAGTGCAGGACAGGTTGTCTTAAGACCATGAAGTTTTTATACTGAGATGTTTTAATAGAGTTGATTGAGTCCCTGAGTGTTATTTTGCACCAAGTGAAATGAAGAACAGAGGACTTGAAAGGTCGTAAACTAACAGAACACGTGCACTATGGCACCAGATTTATGAAGGCAGAGAAAAATAAGTGTTGATAGGTAAACATAATCCTTGGAATTGTTTAACAGAAACAGTATAAGGTAGTTATTTAAGACAGAATGATTTGCTAGTTAAGAGGATTGCTCCCTGCACTGTAACCCAAAGCTTTTTTTGGTATCAACATGAAAAAAATGTTTCAGTGGCTTCAGCTTTCACATTTTAAAGTGTTTTTTTCCTTGTTGCCACTATCCTGCCTTGTTTGTATTTTCAGTCTAATACACTAATAATTAAAATATCCTTATTGTACATGTAATATATTTTTACGAGCAGATAACAGACTAGCATACCTCATGATCTTTGTCAGTGTTAAATGTGGTAGACTAGGCATCTGATACTAAAGTCATCTCCAAAGTGAAGACCTTATGCTGGTAGCTGGACTTCTCTGAGGCTCCCAAGGCACAATGGAATGAAGACATCTTAACCATAAAGCTCAATAAATAACTTACATTGACTTTTGTTAAAATTGCATGCACTACTCTGTATGGAAACTTTGTAAACAGAGATGAAATAAAACAACAGGTTTATTTTGTGCTGTGTTCGTCCTTGACAATTTTTACAGGACGCTTGAATTGGTGTGAACTTTTGTACTTTACCGTTAGCTCAGAAATGCTGAAATACAGTTCTACAGTAATTTGCATATATAAGCCTGACTTAAAGGTATATGCAATTACCAAATTCCAAGCAATAGAGTACAATCTATCATATCTTTATACACTGTTACAGGTATAGTGTAATTGTTTGGTGAGGCAGGAGCTATGATGATTTAGAAGGGGTTTTTTGACCACGTGCAGGGAGCAGGAGTGTTTGAGGTGAGTTATATAGCAGCACTGCACTTTGAAGCACAATGGACTTTCTGGCTAGAATCTGCTGGAAGTTAGTAAATCTAGATGCAGTTTGCCTTTGTATGGCTCTCTATTTTTTTTTTTTTGAAGGAAGACTGCTTAGGAAATTGTCTTAATTTAAGAGTAGCTTTAAATTTTTTTTTTTTGAAGGACAATAATGGTAATTGTAAAGCATCTTTCAAATACCAGCTTACATGTTCTCCTTTACTGCTGATATTCTTGACTTGATGAGTGCTTCTCAGAGCTGCAGTATCAACTGCAAAAGTTCTATCTTGTTGTAAATGAGACTTTCAACTGTTCCTCAATTGAGAAAATTCAGCATCTAGTTTGAGCCTGGAGTTACGTTATCGTTTGGCTGTCTTCAGTTAGTACAAGATAAAAGCATTC